ATCGTAGGGCGCGGGTCTTACGCGGGGGATCGTCGCGGGTCCTCCGCGGGTCCTCCGCGGGTCCTCCGCGGGGGTAGTCGCGATCCGCAACCATCCCCAGCGAAAGGACTTCTTGTTTCGCGGTTGGCATAGCTGCTTGGAGCGGCTCGCGACCGGCCGCTCGACGACCGACCGCTCGACCACCGACCGGTCGGTGCTCGGTCGGTGGCTGAATTCGGACACACTCGAAGTGCACGCACACGCACATACCCTGCGACGAGACTACTACGGGCAACACTGTTGTGGTTTTGCTCCGTACTTTGTTGTCAGGCTTTTGGTCGTTTGTGAGTTCGCGGAGGTAAGAAACGGCTGTTGTTATTTTCTTTTTACTCTAGTTCGTCTTCGCAAATTATAGATTTGTCAATATAGTGTCAAAGACACCTCTGTCCATGCGTAGATGCGGAAGAACGCAAACTTAGCTACATAACCTCATTTTGAATTTACTACCATGTGCCAAACTTTTTTCGACATTTCTCTCTAAGGCAAATTTAAATAAATGAATGTCTAAAATTTCTTATATTCACTTTAACTGAGCTATTGGTATTTCATAGATGTTGAATCTAGAGAGAATGAAAACTCGCAAAAGACGAGTGTTCAAAATGATACCATTAAACCTGAAAAAAAAAGTTCATTGCTTTAACTAAGACCAGCGTCTTTTGCTCTACAATCGTAGTACTACGTATTATGTCTGGAGGTGTTATGTGTTCCTAGATGAAAGTGCAAACAGTTCATAAAGGATGACACCGCACTGAGATCAATACTCGTTCTTCCTACCACCAAGAAGGTGAAGTGGGCTGGTGAAGAATGAGTAATGAAAGCCTCAAATAGCCTCAAATTAAAAATTGATTGATATTTTTCATTAAGTTGGTGCAGTGAATGTAACTAAGGCCATTGAGAGTAATTGTAGCCCCCTGCTCCTCATTCCGTCACTCTCACAGCTCTAATTTATGACTCTCTTCCTGCGGGTACAAAGCGAAATAATATAATACTCAGTATTGTCATGTGAAGATGTTTTTATAATAGAAACGAGTGCCAGTTTGCTCATTTTGTGTCCTTGGGGAATAACCGCTATTAATCTCAGATATAGTCCCCAATGTTTTTTAGTTTTTCAAGTAGGATTCTAATTTTTTGTTTAAATTTAGAATAAATTTTAAAGTCTGAGAACCGATAATGTCTTCAACCTTTCTGCTGCACCAAGGATTGGGAAAGGGAATGAAAGAAACAAGGGCTTACAAAAAAGTTTTACCTTATTTATTTTCATGAAATCTTACAAATATTAATTATGATGTGTTTAGGTTCATAAATCCTCATTGACTTAACACTTTTTCTGTTCAAAGACAGGCAGAAATATTCCAGCTCCTGCCAACTGAATGCTCTTTTTCTCTTTAGTTCTTTAATAATTGATAGAAATGTAAAGTAAATAATATGAAAACAGAGTGAAAAGTGCATGAATATCTATCTATTCCACCAGTGAACGTTTGACATTGAGTTGACATTGTTTGTCCGAGGCAATGCTTTTGAAGCATGGCAAGTTAATGTTATGGAGCTCCCTGTAGAGGAGTTGGTGTAACCATGATATATGAAGACCAAAATTCTGTTTTTACCCTTGTTGCAGGAAGACCGTCCATGAGTTGCATTTGCGCTTGACATATCAGCTACGCAGCCGTCAGCTGTCACCCAATGTATGCTATATCGGCGTCACAGCACAGCATGAGAAATGGCCCCTTTTTCTCATGATCACAGGAATGAATCTGGTAAGTTTTGACTTTTTATGTAATTTTAACAAAAAAAATATCAATATATTATGGTAGAGTCATGATGGGTAAAAGTTTATTTTGGTATTTGTTTCTATTAGGGGGTTACTTCTTGCTATATCTTTGCTGTCTCTTTGCTATCTCCACATACACCGCTTATTACTTGATCCTAAAATATGTTGTCGTGTGTTGATTTTAGTGGAGGGAAGTGAGAGAGGCAAATCATCAGAGAGTCGGTTACAGTAATGCTGTTATTTATTTCATTTATCTGGTACAGTCGTAGTAAAATAGGAAGTGATGCTGGTTCTTGTCCAAAGGGATGTGCCTGGACTTGAAGCTGGCCACCTGTAACATAGAAAGTTCATACGATGAGCTGGCGTCACAGCGATACAGATGGACCAGAACACGTTTGTGTTGAACTCTGAGATAATTTGAATTTACTTATATTTTTTTCATTCTTTTTCAGGTCACCAAAGT